AGTTCGAGGCTTGGGTTCGGAATTGGGAACCCCACCCTCCACCTCCCTGGCTGCCACAGACCTTTTCCTCTGACCTGCCTCTGCCTTAGGCCTAGCCTTGCTCTCAGCCTTTGCCTTTGCCTTTGCCTTTGCCTTACACTTGGCCTTCGGAACTGCAGCTTCAGGCCTGGACCCACTGGAAGGTTCGGCTGAGGCCTTTGCTCTTGCCTGATTGCACCTTCGCTTGGGCTCATGCTCATGCTTTGGTTGGGGGTGCTCTGGACCTGGCTCAGCCACCCCCTCCCCTGCCTCACCTGCCCCCTCCCTTGCTTTACCCTCAGCACAACTTTCAGGAACGGAATCAACGATACCACCCCCATCACCACTCTCACCACCATTATCATCCGAACAAGGAAGGGCATCTTCAGGTTCTTCTTTCTTTTTACCACGGCCCCGGCCACGGCCACCTTTGCCTCGACCCCCTTTCCCTCGACCCTTGCTGGCCCGAAGATCCCGTTGCTGCCGTCTCGTGATGAGTGTATCCTCTGTCTCTGCATCCAAAGGGTCACGGGGCCTTAGTTGAACATTTTTCCATCCCTTAAAAATCCCATCAACAAAACAAAAGGTTCAACATGTATGGGGTAGAATATAGGAAACGTTGTAACAAAAGGATTAAACCCAAGGTTCTCTGTGTCAGAGGGTGCCGGTAAATCACTTGCAGCAAGCCCCCTTCGGATGGTGTCCTTGGCCTCTGGAACTGCTTCTGCAGCTGCTGGGGGGCTGTCATTGATCTCCATGATCTCCATGGCCTGCATAGAAAGCATAAAAGTAACACAAACAAACACTAGGTGCTATATAGGTGGTATAGAAGTGGATAGCTTTTCAGTGTTTTTTTAAGGATAATAAATGCAAGCCAGAGTAACAGCGTGTGAATTTAAAAGCCAACCCCGCCTGACGCGTAGATTCCACAGGTTCGGCGAAGGAAGCAGCAAGTACCTTATGTATGCAAGTGCAAACATTGGAAGAAACAGTCCATCCTTGAAACTATATTCCCTGTTTTTAAGGCCAAGTGTGTAATTTCATTAAATTATCGCTTGAGGTGTGCAAGTGTGGGGTGACCTTTGCATATCTTGGGTGCAGATTAGTGGCATCAGCCTCCTCCTGGGGAAGCGGGATTGTTTCCAAAGTATCTGCAGTTGCTGGGACTCCTGATACCTTACCTCGAATCTTCGCCTTCACAAGGGCAATTTTCTCCTGCAAACGCATGACTTGGTCGCCCTCCGCCATCTCATGCATTGAACCTTGAGCGGAAAAGTGAAATAACCATGGGAATACTGGGAATGAATAGGAACCTGAAAACTGTAAACAATGGAATGGAATGGAATGGAAGGGGGTGGAATGGGAAAGAATGGAAGGTAATAAATTTAACATCTTTATTTGTAAAACATTTTTTGTACCAGCAAGCCTGCAGTAGAAACTTCCACGGCTGCTTCTAAGGAATTGGAAATGTCCCGGGGGGGTATGGCTTCAGTTTCAGAATCAGAAACCTGCACCACATCTGCAAGTTGTTTGGGTGATGAATCCATAGCTGTTGCTGAAACAGAAGAATCATCCTGTTGTAAGGCCCTTTGTGCCGCTTGCCATGCTTCAGCTTCTGGGGTTAAACCGGGTTCCCGCTGGCTGTCTGCAGTCAAGGGGTCCCACATGACTTGGGGGCAAGAAGGCCTTCCACCATTCAGAAAATATTCAAAAAGTTCGGTGGGATCTTGAGGGGGGAAGACTGCATCAGCTGGAGATGGGGTTGCTGATTCGGGTGCTGAGGGTTCCGAAACCATGGCATCACCAATGGGCGCTGGTTCATGGGCAGCATCAACAACTCCTCCAACTTGTCCTGCAAGCTGCTGTGGGCTGGGGGGGGGAGGGCAGGTCCAATAGGTTCAATAGGCAGTTCTTCAAGATGGGCAGGCTCTTCAGCTTCATCAGCTTGATCGTCATTTTCACCAACTTGATTTTGATTCGAAGTGAAGGCATCCTAATGTCTTGAAACCATAAAATGGAAACCAATAAGAGTGAAACAAAACAATTCTTTTGGTCAGTGCATTCTTTTATCGGGGAAAAAAACTGAAACCATTAAGCACTTGCAAGGGGCAGCAAGTGTGTGAACTTCTTCATATCTTTGACTGCTAGATCTCCGACGGAGCCTCATCACCTTGTTGGACATTTTCTTGATACACCAGGCACAAGCTTTGCACTGCTCACCCATGTCAACCTGGATGGGTGTTATGATATTCATATAGCACTTGTATGTGTGAGCCTGTGTGTGTGTGTGCGTGTGCTTACACCACCCCTTGAAAACCATTCAACATAATTAAAATATTATAAAGACATATCCATACATTGTCATTTGCCCAGAAATAGCCTTCCAGCATTGTGCAAGCGCTTCCACCACCCACTTCGAATGAGGGATTTCTAGGACCTTATCCCACAGGGCATGTGCTTCTGGCACGTGCTTCAGGAGTCCATAGTTCGCCTTAATCGAAGCTTCATCGATGACCCCTACTTTCCCTGGCCACACCACCAAGGTAGTAAATGAAGTTGCACGCATCTTCAAGTCGGGATCTGCCTTCATAGCCTTAGGCAACCCCATGATGAAAAAAAAAAGGGCATAATTTTGGAATTCCACCATGTTTCAAATTCAAAAGAAACCAAAGGTTTGAGCTAAGCAGCGTAGTACAGTTTCTTCATGGCATTGATGCCTTCTGGGGGTATTGAAGTCAATTCACATGGGATTCCACCCGCAAAGTGATCTAACTCCATCTCTTGGGAAGGCGATTTCCTCAGTACCATTGCAATGCTTCTCAGAGTGCCCACCTATCCAGCCAAATGGCTATGGAAGTTGTTTGGCATGCCGATGCTCATGCATGCGCTGGTGCGGTGAAAGAATTTAACATAGCATTTTTGAAAACAACAGAACATTGATGTTTTATGATTGTTTCATGTGCGTTTCCAAAACCGCACTGGCAGCTGCAAGCAGCCAGCTGGGTATCCGGACCAATCTTGGGAGCGGCATGTCAGACGTTGGTGAGCCATGGTAACAACACATGTGATTCACTTTGTTGTTGCAAATCATTTTCCTGCATTGTTCTTGCTGGTCAATGCTGGTCAAAGTAACCAAAGGCCTATATATGTATAAGCCTTCAATAAATCACAACAAACCAGATCCCATGATGGTCCATTCAGCTTACATTGCCATGATGCAGGTGGCTGAAAAAGCGTGCAGCAGCACAAGGGTACTTGCGGCCAAGAAAAGTTGGCCCGACAAAAAAAGTTGATCATGACAAAAAAAAATGACAAGACCAAGATAAGATGATCATGTCGCAAAAGGTACAGCATGAGATGCTGCAGGTATGTGCTGTCTACGCATGCAGATTTACTGGCTTATATGCACATACATAAATACACACATGCATCAATACACACATGCATGCACATACATATTATACATGCATGCATACAGACAGAAAAACACATAGGTAGATCGATAGATAGACATATAGACACATAGACAAATGGACAAATGGAAAGATGGACAAATGGACAGATGGACAAATGGACAGATACAGAGAGAGAGAGAGAGAGAAATGAATAAACTTGGATAAACTTGGATAGACAGACATCTGGACAGTATTGGGTATTCTGGACATAAAACATACCCGCTACTCGCACATAGAGACATGTATGGGCACACTGCATTCTTGTTGTATGTCCACTATTTCAATAAGTACAGGGTTCCGGGAGCTTGTGAAAAACACTGACAGAGGTGGGGCAAGATCAGAAGTTGTTCCTCTTAAAGGGACACAAACGGAACCACCCTTTGGTAATTGAACGTGGGAATCGGACATCCCCGTTTTTAACAGGAACACAATCTGTGAATATAAGACTATAAACCCCAGCCTCTAGGCAGAATAGACAACTGAATAAAGTCGCACTGGAAGAATGGACATATTTTTTTTACGTATGGGGTTACTGTCTTACCGTGTGTGCATGTTGTGACATCAACAGCCCGGGGAATTAATTCATTTTGGAATCCCCATAATAAACTACCCGTATCCATCCATAGTCTGGGTTTAAGAACATTGGATGCCCCTTAAACTGGGATAGCTTAAAGGAATACCACACACACACACACACATATATATATATATATACGTATATATATATATATGTATATGGTTTGTTATTGGGCCTGGTTTCATTGGGTTTGCCACATCAAACCTTAGAGGTCTTGGAACAACCTTGAGGCAATCTGCGCGCAGCATCATGGGCTAGACCAACGCCTGCAGACTGCAGAGCTTGCAGTTTGCGCTTTGGTTTTTGAAACACCACACTGTTTTCACCTCGAAAATTCCCATCGCCTTGTGGCTGCGCCATGTGTGTGCTGTGGGATAAGTCCACCTGTGTGTGTTTGGTTTCAAGCTTTGCATAAGGGCCATATGGGGCTCCGAGTGACCAGATACTTGTCGTCAACAATATTCCTAACAAAGCATGACTTTCGGCAGCTGTCAATCACCCAGAAGTAATACCAACATAATCCAACACACACACACATATATATATATACATATAGATTTTATATATATAATGACTGTTAAGTCATTTTTTGGACTCGCACTCTCGCGCGCAAGATTTGCTGATGGCTCAGAGATGCAACAAGTTGGAACCATTTTTTGTCTGTGTCGGGTTTGAAACCAAAGTCTCCGTTTGCAAACGGAGAGTGTCAGTTGATTTCACTCAATAGTCTCAATGTGTGACCGAAAGTGCTGAATGACACTGAGAAGGCACTATAATAAGGCCCCAACAGTTCGAACTGAAATCGCCATATGTTCTGTATCAATGAGGTTTGAATTACAGAAATGAAATGAACAAACCCTCGTGTTGTTCTGGACAAAATAACATATGTATAGGATCGAAATATAAGGTTTCCATAGGTTTCCTGTATTGTTTGTTTCACCAATTCAGATTGGAGCTCCAGTTTGCCACTGCAGTTTGCCACGCCGTTGTGAAACGCGCAGGCCCGCAACATGGCGGGCCAATTCTATGGAGCCGAGAAGTTCAATCCGCGGCTGATTACCACACAGAACCTTGGAATACCTTGGAGCTCATGGATGATAACAGGATGGTGATGGATAGTGCCGAATAGCTAAGTTGGTGCAATCCAAATTCACTTGGGTTGATTAGGGGACATGTATAGTTAAAGGAGATGATTAAACCAACAAACTAAACTCGTGGGTACCACCCTTTGGGATAATGGGTAAACGTTGCTATTCTGTTTGATGTTGTAGTCTCATTTTTGAGATTGTTAGTTTCTATGGCCTGCCATGATCACCCCTTGATAGTTTTTTTTCAGGGTGGTTGACATCACCAGTCGGCGATGGGCTTTGGCACGTCCGTAGCAACCTCGGTTCAAAGATGCAACCGTTTGAACAAACTTAAAGAAGCACCAAAAACTAGAACTGAAACTGAACAAACCCGAAACCAACACATAGTCACTATACTAAATGAACCATAAAACAACACCACAAAGGCACCTAACCAACCGTAACTCAGCACCAACACAACCCCAAATAAACCCAACAATGACCCTAATCAAAAAGACACTAGATCAAAACTAAATAAACCACAAGACAGGCCAAAGAAACACCGCACATCAACCTTTAATCAACACTACAACACAAACCTGAAAGATACCCTAAAAATACCTAAAACCAACCCGATGGAGAGAGAAAGAGAGAGAGAGAGAGAACCCTAACGAAACCCTAAAACCACCAAAAATAAGACCTCCAGCAACCTCAACAAACCTTAAAACGAACTTAAAGAAGCACCACAGCAACCCTAAGCAAACCCTGAAACGACAATAAAGCAACCCTAAATAAAGACCCAAAACCACCCTGAAACCAAACACAAAAGAAACCCTAAAACAGCACCAAAAACAACCAAGCCAACACTATATAAACAAACCCACCAAACCGGGAGTAAATCGATGCAAAAAAAAAACAACCTTTCACACCAAACAACAACCCAACCCTAAATCAACATATGCTGATGATTATATATGATTATGATGTATATAACACTCGCGTAAATAAACCCCGAAACTTCCAATTAATAAACCGTAAAACACCCTTAAATCAACACCAAAACTGCTCCCAAAGGAACCCTAAAACATGTAAGCTAAATGCACTCTAAATCAACGCTAAATAGATCTTCAAACTAACTCCAACCAATATGTTGCAAACACCGTACAAATAAGAGATTTCAGATGCAACAAAAATAAATATAAACGTACAGATAATCTGATTCTCAGATTCTGAAATGTGTTTTTTTCCCCGGTGTTTTAAATGTTTTTTCCAGCGTGGAGAGTAGGGATGAGCCTTGATTTAGTTTCTAGCCAGATTTTTCCCAGTGTTTAGCCGCCCCAAGTCTGACCCAGCCGTTTCGCTTGCAGGGTAGTTCCCCATAGTTAAGTTGGTGCACATAACTTTATAACTCCAATTTCACTAGGGTTGATTAGGGGGATATAACATGATATAACTAGTGAGATGGGATTATAAACCAACAACCATCACTGGGGAAGGCACCACTCTGACTCTGTGAGGATTCTGGTGATGCAGAGCAGCTTCTGGCTTTGTTTCTGCAGTTGCGTTTCCGTGGGCGATCTTTTCTTCGGCTGGGTTTCCCGGGGAGAAAACATCTGGATGTGATGGGATGAGTCATAATCGGATACCCCTGGTGAACACCACAATAGCCTAAAATAGCTTGTAAATAGATGTTGAATAATATTTGGTTTTCATCTTACTTGGGATTTGGACATATATATATATTGTTGAGGGCGATTGAAACAAGCCATGAACCACCAACAGGATCCAACAGGATCATACCAGCGATTTTGTGCCATGGACTCCATGGCATTGGCTTTCCGGCAGGTCGTGGCCGGACCTTTCCACTTTCCAGCCGCAAAGAGCTTGACCCTACAAAAAATGGATGGCTTTAGTTTGTAATAAACCCCGGAAAATTCACCATTTTTAAGGAGGATTTTAATATTTCAAGAAGGCAATTGATCGGGAATTTCCCAGATAGCCATGTTTGATGACTGGAGCGCCAGCTGCTGGGCGCGATGTCAAGGGATTGGTGGAAGGTAACAGCTCCTGGGAAGGATGGAGTTTTTCCACCAATCCTTCAACCAACTCCAGGTAGAGTACTCCCTTTTTTTTGCGTTGGTCAACCCAAATTTCATTGTAAGAAACTATAATAATCAGATACCCTCTGGTAAACTAACAGCTGGACAATCACCATTTTTAGTAGCTAAATCAATAGCTATGTTAAATTACCAGAGGGTATTGGTTTCCGTTTTTCCCCCCTCAACTCATTCCAGAAACATCCCGCAGTTCAATTCAGGGGAAGAGCAAGGTGCAGGACAGCTCTTCCAACCGGAGGCACAAAACGCCCGCCGTGGTTCCATGGACTTGCTCCCAAGTAGCAACATTTACTTCAAACAGTTTCAATCATGATCCAGAAATATCCAGAACCATTTGAAGGCGCATTATTATGTGAAATAATTTCTAATATAATTATGTTCCTCTTCTATGTTTGTTTATTTTTATTTTTTTACTATGTGTATAATATATATATATGCACATGCATATGCATGAATATGATGTAATCATACCAAACTGCACAGAGGACAGAGGTTGTTTTGGAGATGAAGTGATTCGATGACACTTGTCTTACACAGTGTTGATGCATAATCGCCATTTTTGCACTGGGCATTGGCACAGTTAGGCTGCCATTAGAATGGTTGCATACGCCAGTGGCCAGCTAGCAAAGGTTCTTATAGGGTACGCAGGCTTCACAAAGGCAAACCGATTTGACCCACATAAGTCCCTCGCATTCTGACACTATTGAAGACTAAGTACAGTAACTTTTCCAAATTATAATCTCAACTCTCTGTTGGAACATCATGCTAATAAAAACATGCAATGGTGGCATACAAATGTGGCCACATCTATGAGTGACCAAGCTCAACCAGCTGCTGTTCTTAGTTTGGAGGCTTATACCTGGAGAACAACTCGAGGCTTGATTCTAGCTTGCGCTCTATGGCTGACTTCCTTTGTGATGGCAGTAGAACTGCGCTTCGTGGTGCAACGAGCTAAGAAATGTCCCTACGGATTGGCAGGGCAGTGGGAGGGAGGGCTGCCAGCTGCCATGGACAAAAAGGATATTATATATTTATTCATTCGAGATATGCAGTGTATAAAGACGGGCATGCGTGTATATAGATATAATCATATATATATATAATATTCTTAAATAATATTTATATTTATATATTATATGTGTGTGTGTGCGTAGATATGTTGACAACCATACTTCCATTTGCATGGACATATTAGTGGCAAATGTGTGTGTTTCTACACATGTTTCACGCTGATTCCCCCAGGGCGGTTTCAACCCCACAACCGTAGCGCCGTAGCACGTGATATGCCAGTTGCTTTTCTAAATTGGCATCCATTGGCCACGAGACAAGCGTTTTTTCTTGGCCAATTCCCATTAAGTAGTTCATTGGTAGTTAAAAATCATGCGCGGCAAGAGGACATAAAACAAATGATTTGATCAACATGGCAGCGGCGTCTCCCAGTTTCAACTGGCCATGCTTTTCACGCCATGCGCCACGCCATGCCAAGGCTTAGACTTTGTGGCAACTTATCACATCTTTCATTTGATGGCCACCTGCTTAGCAGAAGGAGCAATCCGGGGCTAATGCTGGAAAGGAGTTCTTATTTGTTCAATGGCAGAGAATGCTTGAGAGTGACAGGTTTGCCGAAGACTTGAGAGCGAGAGAGAGAGAGAGAAACAAAAAGAGAGAGAAAAAAAAGAGAGGCAAAAAAAAATAATGTAAGAAAACAATAGAGAAAGAAAAGAATAGATAAGAAAACACAAGAAAAGAAAAGAAAGAAAGAGAGAAATTAAAGAGAGACATAAATAAAGAAAGAAAGAAAATAAAAGACAGACAGAAAGACAGAAAGACAGAAAGGCAAAAAGTGAAGCTGGACACTGGACATACATGGCTCCTTCCAAGTCAGATTTCCGGAGATTTCTGGGCAAGCGGATTGAATCCAAGCTGCTATGCACACCCTGCAATGGGGTAAATCGATGTAAATTGAATAATTATGAACCCATTAACCACCCATTTGCGGGTCATTTCATCATATTTCATCATCTATGTGCAATTTCTTGCAGGATTCCCGGCCTTCTGGCAATGGTGGATCATTCAAGTACCCGCCATGCTCATCTCGGTGCTGCTGGGTGAATTCATGTGCATGCGAGCTGAGACACAAGATATCTCACTGGGCAGTAAGGGAGGCAGCAAAAAGCCCTCCAAACCGACCTTTGATGAGATTTGAAGATGAAAAAAAGGCAGGCAATCTCACTTACGACACCTTCCTTGTCTAGAAAGATGAACGAGGCTGGGAGAAATGAGGAGGTACAGTTTACGTTTGACGTCACAGCGGGCTGTTTTCCGACGTCGTTCGCTCAACTGTCCATTTCATCCTGGGATTGCGAACCAGATTCGGCAATATTGTCTTTGCCTCTTTTCAGGGTGGTTGAAGCACCAATCTGCCTTTGATTTGCCTTCCTCTTTCTGGCAAATTTCAGAGTAAGATCATACGACCCGACTGCATATGTTTGGGCGAGGCCTAGAGCTTGCTAGGATTACCTTGCACCCTGCCAATGAGAGGATACATAAAATCCATTTGAACCAGTCTAATGCCCGTACATATCCGTACATTAGTTAAATTATCCATGATCCTCATCCTCATCCCAACCATTCCCAACCTCCTCATCCAACTATTCTCACATGGAAGTGGTCCCATTGCTACCCCATGTTTGCCGTAGCCAATGTCCTGGCTCGCAGAGCACACAATCAGAGATGGCTCGGCCGTGGCAGAGGCACTGGACGGTCGCCAGATGGGGCCAAAGCACCTTGGCGCCAGCGAGTGATGCACCCTGGGAATGTACGAAGCATAATGGGGATATAGGTGGAATTCATGATGATCAGATTAGCAAATTTATATAATGCATTTATTCTAATAGGGATTATATAATAGGGCACATGTGATGATGAACCAGTGGATTCAGGGATATCATAGTTTCAGACAACCCAAAATGGTGTTTTTGGGGTCCAAACCCAAATGGGTGATAGAAGCAACATTGGAGATGCACCCAGGCAACAAGATTCAAGATGCATGGGACCAAAAAAAAAAGACCTTCAAGAAAATCACATTTAAGGTGTGTTATGTTGATCTATTTTGACCCATGAGGATATTTAGATATATTTATGTTGATTCCTACCTTTTTGAGAAGATGAGACATGTCAGCTCTATTTCTGGTGCAAAAGCGCCAGATAGAGCTATGGACAGCTGAAACTGCACCTCCAAGTACTAAACCTGTCACTGCACCCTGGATTCTCCCCGGATTCTCTGGCTGTACACGGCCAGAAGTGGACTGAGCCCTGGAAGTTGTGGTTGGGGTCCTGTTGCTTGGAGATGTTCCTTGATTTCAGGATGTGTAAGATCTATCTGTTTTAGAATTACATTTAGAGAAATATCGACTAAGATTTTTAAAACCAGATCTGTGGATCAACATATGTTTTAGAATGTTTTAGATAAATATTCATCTAGCTGAATCTACCTATAGTTTTTAAAAACACACACACATGGCACTGCCAGTTGTTTCGACCAAGGCCCGTGCCTGAAATCCTGGTGACTTGGATCATCTTGGATCATTTGGAATGTTGGAAATCCCGGGAAATCGGATGGCCGTTGATCCATAAAAAATGGTGGTTTTAGATGGTCTAACCATGTCTAACCATCCTGAAATATCTGAAATCAATGGGGATATAGACATCTGTTACATATATAGACTATCATAGAATATCATATAGAAGATCTATACGGATGTGTATTTAGCTGTAACATATCTAGATACGTGGTAATTTGTATTTAGCTGTTACATTGCCTATATATATATAAATAATCTAGCCAATAGGATTATAATAAGTGAACAAGAGTGGGTGCCTAGTACATAACCACAATAATCACAACGTACCAAAACTGCTGATTTTAAATGATTGGAATGACTGAAGAAAAAAGGTCCAATTCATTTCATTGGTATGATGAAGCCAAACGATTTCTGTATGTTGGCTGTTCGGGGGATGGGTTGCGGCCACAAAATCAGGGGACCAAACTTTCAACGTCGAGGCGGGGCTCTATCGCAGCTCCTTAGAAGCGCCTGAAGCTTTTCAAGCTGAATACGAGGCCACCTCGGGACATGACGATCATGACGTTCCACCAAAAGAGGGTCAAGTTTTGAGTCTGGAAATGCTGACTTTGGGCATGAAGATTGTTTATGACACTCAGCTTGAATTGCAGCTGACTAGCCTTGAAACGATCATGACATATATGACATCCCTGACATGGCTAGGCCTCAACGAACAGAGTGCTGTCAATCCTTCAAAGCCCCTTGGCAGTTGGAGTTGAGGTGTAGGAATGATGGTAACACTGGAACCAGCTTGGGGGAACCATCCGAGAGACGATTTCCATTTTGACTTTGAGCATCAGCAATGAGAAGCTCCAAAGAACATTCAAAAAGAACTAGCTCAGGCAGGTACATTCCTCGTTTTATCCTTGCTGTTTACATTCTTTTAAGCATCCTGAGGATTCCCTCACGCTGTTGTTGGCGGAATTTGCCCAGCCCAGCAACCCAGGTTTCCAGTTTCAAGAGGTTGACCTTCAGGTGCCACGAGTGGACCACAGGACTTCCAGATGTTCCAAGTTTTTCCTGATGTTCATAGGTTGCAACTACAAAGTCCTGCAAATCTACCCTCCAGTATTCAACCACGACTTGCCGGAAAATCCACCATTTATAAGGGGTGGATTTCACAGTTCCCCGCTGCTCTGGCAGTTGGACGACCGCAATGCACTGCACTACGCTGCGGGCTGCGGCTGCTTAGAAGTCTGTGAGGCGTTGTTGCGACATCCACAGCTGAACTTCCAGGCTGAACTCTTCATCTTCGAAGTTTGTCTGGGTGTGATTGGTTGTGTCGATTTACATCGGGGAATTATTAGTGGGATTTCTACCATGGATGACAAAGACTCACCAAAGAAAAGATAGGCGATCTGTTTTTGGGACAACCAATGATAAATTTGGGGTGCCCTATTTTCAGACAAATGCAACCGTTTTTTTGTGGGGGAAGGACGCTATGTTTTTGGTGACACGCATTTCCACAACCCTTGGGGGCGTTGTGATTTTTGCATATTTTTGTTATCATGCTACATGGCTATGGTTGCAAGGAACCAAGAGGAATCAAGTTCCAATCAGTTTCGTTTCTCCAGGAGGACCGTCACGGACACACCCCGTTGCTCTGGGCGGTGCGGCATGGCATGGCCGGGGCGATGCAACTCTTATTGAGGCCGCCGCTCAAGGGTTCCCAACCCGTCAGAAGCATGGCTACCCGGGATTATCGCATGATACGATTGTATAGCGCGGAGGAAGGATCACCCCATTTGTTGGGATGGTACCCCGAATTGACTTCATTCATTGTAGGTTTGCCTGAAAAATCTGACACATACCCTATAATTTATAACCATTCAACTAGTGGACAATTTGGCACCAATGTAGAGTCCCAAAATTATCTTAACTTTCAGGGTGGATAATGAGTTTTTGTCCAAAAAAATAGTTTTCTTCCTATAAAAACCTAGGATTTTTGGAGATTTCCCCTGAACTTTCCAGTGAAAAGCCACGGTTCCAAGGCACGGCGCTGTGCCTTGGCATTCAGACCATCGTGGATTAACGGCTCTGCACTGGGCCTGTGCCCTGGGCTTTGGGAGGCGGGAGGATGGAGAATGGTGACCCAAGGGATTTGATTTTGGTGGGTTAACTCGAACAAAAATGGTGCTTTAATGATAATGGGGATATTATTGTGGTGATATCGTATTAATTGGATTTTGAGGTGGGGTTATGATGATCTAGTGATTTAACATGATTTAACATGATTTAAGTCGTTAAGAATGGTTTATTGTTTCAAGTGAGTATATCACCTGTTGAGATGTTTTATGGTGATTAAATAGACATGATTTAACCAAGAAACATCGTGGCCTAATGGTGAGATATCAATGCTTTATTTCCTGTTACCCTTTGTTGTTTTTTGTTACTTAGCTGTATAGAATTGCATACTTATATATTATATAATATATAGATGATTTCTGGTTTATGTTGATTTACCTATTTTTAATGGAGGGTGATTTCCAAACATGATTTGTACCCTCCAGCAATCAAACATGGCAATTGAAGATCCTCTATGAATGGAGGTGTTAATGGACACTATAAATGGTGGAATTTTCCATTGCCATATTTGATTACCGGAGGGTAGTGCTAACAAATGTCATAAGTCATGATCAAGTAGGGCTAATGTCACCTCTTGGCAATGTTATCACAATAAGATCTGGATTAACGTCGCTTAAATTTGATGATTTTGATGACTGCAAGAAGGGTTTGGTTGCCTCGTCACCCCCGCAGCATTGGCATTTTCTGTGGATGGACCAAAAGGGGCACTCCGAGTTGGGGTTTTCGTTGGGCTTTTCCAGGGCTTTTCCATGGCTAGAGGCTTTGCAAGTTGCTCCTGATGGTGCCGCTGAATGCGGAGGTTGGAATGGTTGGAATGGTTGGGATGGTTGGTATGGTTGGGATGGTTGGTATGATGGCTGCGAAGGTGAATCCAAAATCGTTTTGTCTTCCAAGAGCACCTATTTTTTCAATGGCATTCAATGGTCCACTCTGTCCACTCGCCAGGCTCATTGATGCGTTCACCATGAGCCATGAGGACAGCCATCTATCTAGTTTAACGATGTTTGACGAGGGATTCTCATTCCATGAGGCATTCCTTATAAATTATAATTATTTATACTGCACATTGCTGTACCAATTTGATAAACAAATCGAATCACTCTTATGTACATATTCACAACATCCTCATCCGCAGCCCCCAGAACGATGGAATGTCAACTAACATTTTGGTGATTTTGATGAGGTAAATACAATAAATGATGTTCTGGCAGCCTTGTGCTATGTCATTCTGTTCTTCTCATTTTTTCACCCTTTCAACTTGTCAGAGCAACCCAGTTCCCAGATGGAAGGTCGTGCTTAGAATAATCATAATGTCACAACGGGTTGTACCCGCAGAGTTCAAGCATACTAAACTCCAAAAAGATGGTCAAGCAAAATCTTATAGTAAGATGGTGATAAGATGTGATAACTTGAGTTTATCATTGTAAGATACATTCTTTTTGGGTTCAGCCGAGCCATGGTTGCCAACGTTGGAAGGCGATGAAAGATCAGCGTTGCCAACGTGGCTGGACTCCATTGCACTCTGCCGCTTACAGTGCCTGGACTGGGCCTGGCTGCGCCAAGGAGGGAACTGTTCCGAGCTAGGGGTATACATGGGTATCCATATTCCTTAAATGGGGAGGAGGAGCCAAGCATATAGTTTGATATACTTTATTTATCATTATTGAATCATTATTGTCATGATTTTGGGCAAGGGGCAACCCCCAATTCAAATCAACGGAGAGTTGATCATTCCGCTCAAAATTGTGCTGGCTGCCAGACTATGACCATTTTGATTGGGAAAATAACTACAATCAGGTGTAACCAAGGTGCCTGGAGTCTCAGCAACTTGACCCCTATCTCATCCACTGATCCACCATCGAAAACAATCATTCCATCACCCAGGCATCATCCGTTCCATATTTTTCCATCATCCAGACATACGTTGTGCAGACCATTCACAATTTGATTGGACATTCGGACCATTTTTCATAGATGTGTCCGTGTTTAAATCCCATATCCATCCATATCCATTACCCTGTGGCAAACGGCAGCAACCATATTAAGGATCAATGAACATCAACCAGTATCCGGTCCAACTCAGCCAGTTGTAACATGTTTAGGAGTAGCTGGAATGATTGTTAGTAAGTAATTAGGTGTGACTATGCCGCTACGCCAGAATTGCCTTATGTTTTTTCAGATTGGTGAATGGTTCTCATTCATCCAGATTCACCATTCAAGTTGGTTTCATACTCGGTGTATCCCCATCCCCATGGTGATGTTGACTGATCACTGGGCTGGTCGGCACCTTATGATCCATTATCAATCATTTCTTGGTGAATAGCCATGGTACATCACCATATCCAGATGTTGTCCGTAAATGTTAAAAGGATCACGGATAACTTATTATCATTTGTAAAAAATACATTTTATATCATTTTATATCTGTTACCATGTAAAGGTTACATGGTTCAGTGATAATCTATATTGATTACCCATATTATACTGCCAAATCTACATCCATATTTTTTCCATAGATGGAAGTGACAACCACATAAAAAAAAAAAAAAAACATTTCACCAATGATTATGTTTTCCCCATGAATGTTATTCACAAAAAATGATGAACAGTTCCATATCATTGAACAATTACCACTGAATCAGATGGAAAACCAATGGATGTCAGTGTCATTGGATTGGTTTAAGGAAAATGTTACAGGAAAACACTATGTTTGATGGTAAAAACCATGGTTTCCTTCAGATTTTCAATGGACAACGGAAAACCAATGGCCAGAAAACCTGAAAATCACCAATAAATCACCATGAAATCACCATTTTCCCCTTAGAGTTTTCATTCCAACTGCGGTTCCCCGAGGCGGCTCAGCGGCCTGCTGCGAACACCTCCTGAGCGCGGGCGCGGACGAGACGCTGCGGACGCCGCGGGACTGGACGGCTTTGCACCTGGCGGCCCTGCAGGGACAGGTCGAGGCCATGGCGACTGTGGAAATCCTATGGAAGTTGGGTGGAAATGGAGATGGATGGCTGATTTGTAAAGGTCTATTTAATATATAATTTAATCATGGGGAAAACAAACATGGATTTGATATTGGTTGAGATTCGAGATGGTTTTAAAGCTTGGATGTTTCCCGTCGGGGTGAACAACCACATGGCTGCTATCTTTGGGCTGGGTAGCTTAAAAAGTAGCCGTCGCAGGCCCTCAAGGTCCTTGCCTCCCATTGCTCAACAGAGGCTGCGAAGATGGGTGATGGTGATGGTGCCTTTCTTATCCTTGAAATGCTTATAATGTGGTTACAACAATAATCAACCACCCATTTAAAATTTGGGAATGGTTTATACCACCTACTTATGGTGATTTGGGGGATGGTTTCTTATTGTTTTACCCACATGATCCACAATGTGGTAAACCCAATAATAAACCATCCCCAAAATTTGGTTATTGGGTGTTTATTGGGTGTTTATTATTGGGTGTACCCCGTTCTTTGGGAGGAAGACATGATACCCTTTACCATGGATGGTTCATGGGGATTTTTTTTCGTGTGTAGCACATGAATACTTGACGGATTTATGGACTGACAAGAAAGATTGATCAAATGCCACTGTGGAGTATTTTTCTCCCTTCTCCCTGAGTAACAATCATGTCACGCATTGTGGCATGACTATATAAGCCCCGCTTTCCTTGAAGTGACCATTCACAGAAAAGTTCTACATTTGGGTAGAAACTATGGTTTACTGTAGGGTTTCTGTTGCGTCAATCCATTGACAGACTCGCAATGGAAGGACTAACAGATGTTCAAAGCACGCAGGAAGATTCATATAGCAGAGTTCAAAACCCTTGTTAGTTGATGATTCCAGAGATTTTGCTGTCAATGTTGAAGGGGCACTTTGTAGCCGTCCACCAAAACGTTCATTTTACTTCATGAACCTGTCTTGGGCCACGTTTGTTTCACCTAGGTTGTTCCCGTACACTTCCACCATCTTCAGCGATGCACAACACAACTCCGATTGATAGAAGGGGTAAGATCCAAGAGAATTCTCTCTATTCTTTGGTCAAAGGAAATGGAACTTAGGGACTTAGGGGTGCAGGACCTGTTGGATCATTTTAAGGAGATCATTTCTTCGTGCTACAGATAAAAAGACAGGAGAAGACGTAGAAGGGGCGACGTTTCTATACCCCAGATTGCTCAACTCAATAGAAATGGTAGACACACAGAGGCCCGACAGGCTTGGAGTATTATACATGGTGGATATGGTGGGCAAGTCCACAGTGCCGTACAAATCTAATGAGAATTATCTATACTACGTATATATATATATATTATATAGTGTACATATATATATACATATGTAAATATATATATATATAGTATAGTGTATATATATATGCATATGTATATATATATATATACACTATACTATATATATATTTACATATGTATAGTATATAATATATATATGTATTTTGTATTGCCATGGAGCAATGGGAGCTCGCAAGTGTTTGTATGTTTAATATATATATATATAATTATAAATGTACCCTGAATATGTTGATGTATCCATATGTATCCTGGATGTAATTATCCAAGAATTTATCCAAGAATCCATTGGGGTTGTCAACTCCAAGTGGTTTCCGCCAGAACACACCCGACTTCGTCAGGTGTTTCTGGCATTAGACGCGCAGGGTTTGAGCGCCCTAGATTTGGCGAAGGAGAGCCAGCATGACTGTTGGAACCATTTGGAACCAACATGTGATCCCCTAAATAATGTGTGTATATATATACCCTTTGGTAATTTAACATAGCTATGGAAAATCACCATTTTTAATAGGTAAACCATCTATAAATGGGCCATTTTCCATGGCTATGTTAAATAACCGGAGGGTATATAACATATAATATATTAAAAAAAAAAAAACTGATTGGTGGTTCGGAACCATGGAATTTTATGACTTTCCATATCTTGGGCATGTCATCATCCCAACTGACGAAGTCATATTTTTCAGAGGGGTAGGTCAACCACCAACCAGTAAACAGTGGAGCATCTCAATGCGTGCTTTGAACAATCATGTCGATTGGATACCCTACTGAAAACTAACGGTAGGATGTGGAGGACCCACTATTTGTAGATCAAATTCTTCAGGAAACCATCGGTTTTCCACATCATCTACGTGAGTTTACCCCAGAATACTGCGTTTTCCATGTCGTGAGAAGGATTTCGGTGCCCACCAGCCTTGATCAGGAGTCGGGGCATTTGGAAGCAGCGGAAGTTCTTCGACATCCAGAGGCATTAAGTTGAACTTCTGCCAAGAAATTGCATGGGGGGAAATGGGGGATATCGGTTGATATCCAGCAAACAACAATGTGGAAATTGGATTGTATTTGTTGAGATTGGGTGCCCTATGTTCAGACTAATTATATGATATATAACCCGCATACAATTCTAAGTGTGTTGATAACACTGGTTGATAATGGTTCTAATTGGAGTGACGGTATGGTAGGCATTATCCGCGATCATTGCTTGTGAATCTTGTGATCGTTCATGATTGTTCATGTTTGTTCGCCATATGTTGTTCGTCATGTTTTCGCCATCATCGCCATCATCATTGTGCATTGGCAAACTGTCAGAGTGATTCGCTTCGGCTCCAATCTTCAAGTACCAACCCCTACAAGTCCACACCGTCACAGAGCAAGTCAAACATGAAAACAAAAATAAACCAGGTATATTGATTATACTTTACCAACAGCCCGGAAAAATGTGGAAACACCAGGAAACACCAGGAAATCACCATCAATCACCATAAATCACCATAAATGATTTAACATGTACAGTTCTGATGTTTGGTTTGGATCAGTCCGGTGGATCCAACTGGATAACTCCAGGAGACGCATCGACACCTGGTGCGTGCATGGTACAAGTGTTTATCCCGAGGACCTAAGGTGTGGTCTTTTCACCGGGTGGGGAAAAAATGTCGACAGGAGATCATATGGATTTTCGACATTTCTTTCGATGATTTTTGTCTGTGAGTCGTGTCCCTTTTTCAGAGACATTTTGGGAGAGGTTGATTTATTGATTTTGAAGTTTGCAACCAAGTTGTGAAATTGAGGTTAAAAAATAAACACGCGCAACAGGTGAACGTTGCTGTACCGATGCTTAGACTCAGACGCGCCTGACTGCTGGAAACCATTTAGCTGATGGGAGTGTCCAAGTAGCATGGGAGACGTGCAGGCGGCACGTTAGAATCATCAGATCAGAAGACATATGCAGGTACGGCAAGTATCTAAAAAGTCAAAATTTCGGGTTTGTTTGAAAATATGGTGGAAACCACCAAATTCCGAATCCCATGTTTTTTTCATCATTTCCGTTTCTTTCCCAGTTGAAATGACCATGTTGGGGTACATTTCCACTGGATTTAGGAGGTGCAACGTGGGATGAATATGGATTAACGTCACCGGGCCATGGGGTCTTCAAACTATCTTCAAATATGTTCAAGTCATTTTAGCTACATAAATTATTTTTGGTTTTGATATATTTTTTTTTTTTGAAAGTGTAGCCCTAACATGTGCAGTACCGGGTCTTCAATGTACCAATCGCCGCCAGTTCTGCCAGGTGGCTTTCGATGATTTGATCGAGGCGGCCCTGTTGATCAAGGCCGCTGCGGAGAACGCGGATAGTTTATAGGCGATATATACATTTATAATATATTGACAGAACACACACACACGGTATATATATATATATGTACATATGTATTATTCACATATATATATATTATTCACACATATATATATATATATATTATTCATATATATATTATTCACATATATATATATATATTATTCACATATATATATATATTATTCATATATATATATATTATTCATATATATATATATATTATTCATATATATATTATTCACATATATATATATTATTCATATATATATTATTCATATATATATATTATTCATATATATATATATTATTCATATATATATATATATTATTCACATATATATATATTATTCATATATATATATTATTCATATATATATATTATTCATATATATATATTATTCATATATATATATTATTCATATATATATATTATTCATATATATATTATTCATATATATTATTCATATATATATATTATTCATATATATATATATATATTATTCATATATATATATTATTCATATATATATATATTATTCATACATATATATATATATTATTCATATATATATATTATTCATATATATATATTATTCATACATATATATATATATATTATTCATATATATATTATTCATATATATATATATATTATTCATACATATATATATATATATTATTCATATATATATATATATATGTATATATTCGTAAACCAAATGCGCAAAATAGGGAGATAGACACAGCACGGTCAGTTTTTGTTTTTTTTCGGCTATTTTAGGCCCCGGAGGTGGAGAAGGTGGGGCAAGATGCCTTGGAGCTGTGCTGCCAGGTGGTGGACCTCGGGTCGCTTGGATCCCTGTGGATCATGTTGGATCCGTTGGATCCGTAAGGACTTGGACAAAAATAGGGGATATGTACCATGGAGAATCTATTACCCTCTGGTAAACTAACATAGCAATTGAAAATGGCCATTTATAGTGGATTTTCCCATTAAAAATGGTGATTTTCCATTGCTATGTTAGTTCACCAGAGGGTAATACACCTGTTGAATATGCTTGAATGATGGATAATATTGATAATATTCCATTTTAATCCAGTTTTAATGAGATGTGGTTAGTAAATTTGGATATTTGCTGACATTTGAATCATTTATGGATATGTTCTCTTTAGAATTGTGGCTCTGAGGGTAGCCCGACGATGGTAACTTTACTCCTGACAGGGGTAATAGCATCTAATAGCCCATAGTATCGAAGTGGCTTACTTACTTGGGATATGCACATGCGAGCAGAGATGTCCCAAGATGCCTGAGGACTTGGTCTATGTATACCGTAAAATTCGAAGTCTCTCCCTCTCACCCTCTCTTCATTCATACAGTGTACTGTAAGTTTCAGCCAAATCCATTGGCCCAATGGCATCCCAATTTGTGTTTTAGTGTTAAAACTTCATTGGTCGTTAGATCATTGGAAGGTTAAGTCCCAATTTTACCATGCTGCAGAACCTAATTCCCATCGCAATGGTTCATCCTAATGGATGTTTAGATTTCCAGAAAGTCGATGCTGAAAACTCCCCATCTTAGATGATCACATGTGATTTTTCACAATTTTCATGGTTTTTCAGCAGTGAAAACCAATGGTCCAATGGTTAAATCATGTTAAATCCACAGTGTTCATCGTGTAAATCCACATGTTTCATGTCTCAGCTTTCTTCGCCTTCCGAAACCGCATCAGGTTTCGCATCGCTGGCTATGTCGTGGAGGTGAAGGATTGTCGGGGTCCATCCGGTGCAGCCCCGGCGCGTGTGTACTATGCCAGAACCAAGGAGCAACGGAAGGCGCGATCTCCAATGGGTATGGAAATGTATAGAATCTGGGCATAGATCAACCGGTTGAACTATCGATTTTTCAGGGAAAACCCTTAGAAAGATGCCAAGTTTAGTGTGAAACCAGGAATTTCGATGATGTTTACCTCATATTTCCAGGTTTCCAAGGTTTATGTTTTCCATTTTGTGGGCGATGCCATCCCCACTTGCTTCAATATGCCTCAATTGCTTTGCTTGTCCTTTACAATCTATGGCGATTGAACTAACATTCTACCCCCCCAGCTGACATGCTGGACGATGACAAGGAAACACAACAACATCCAACTTGTGTTGCCCCCTCAGTGTTCACATAGCACCTGTATCCAAAATTTGATAGTCACGTTGGTGACTAGCGATCTAGGTGCGTGGATGACCCAAAGATACCCAAAGTGTATCTTTATTCATCCTTATTCCACCCAGGAATCTCGTTTCCCTGTTCATAAACATCTCTACGTGACCCGACCCGGGTAATCCCCGGTATATGAAGGGAACACTTGCAGAAGGGAGCAGCAGGGTTGATGAACAAACAGTTGCAAGCCCATCAGTTGTATTCTACCTTCAGTTGGTGGTTGCATGGCGTTCCCGTATGTATACGCACATAGATGTACATCATTTGATTTGCCCCATTCATCCCCATTATGTTAGACCTTCATGTTCGTTGGTGATAGTCTACCCATAGTTCTACAAGCCGGTGGTCGATATTCCCAAATAGAGAAACATCCGTCATCCCGTGTTTTTCAGGTTGAAGCATGTTGAATCTTTTAGCATCCTTTATTTTTGCTGATTCTTCGTATTCCACACCAAGTGTCCCTGAATTCAAGGGAACATGGAGAGATTTCAAGAAATTCTTCGTATACCCTCACCACGGTTGACCTGTAGAGTTTCCCGTTAACCATCCTGAAACCGTTCCTTAAAGGACTTCTCTGAAAGTTGGCCAACAAAAAAATATATCACAAAAGCATTGTATCGATGAACATCCCCTTCACATCCCCTTAAACTATCTCAAAATCCCATTAAGATATATATTAAGATCCCATGAAAATTGAAAAAATGAATGTGACATTCACGCCCCATTCAAAAAAAAAACCAATCAGATCAGTCAGATCCCATAAAACTCCCATAGATGCCATTTGTTCCATCCCTGGATCGCCAGGTAGATGAGGTGGAGTTCCTGGTGCCGCGCTTGCGGCAGACCTCGGGCCAGGCCATTTGGCAACGAGGCCATTTGGGTGATAGCGCTGATGTACCCTCTGGTAATGACTAACATAGCTATTGAAAATGGCCATTTATAGTGGATTTTCCCATTGAAACCTGATGATTTTCCATAGCTATGTTAGTTTACCAGAGGGTATCTGAATTTTAACATATTTTAACATATTTGGCTATTGATCAATACCTATGAAAATACCATGTTTAGGGGAATGAACAACCATGCCATAAATCCCAGCTATTTTGATGTGAACTACAGGGGTACAAGGTTTTGACACACTGCCATATTTTAACCATCTATCTGTCTATCTGAGTCTATCTGATTGTCTGTCTATCGATCTATCATGATCTATCTATCTGAGGTTGTTTAGTTTTAATGGAAATGACAGATAGACAGATGGATATCTATCTATCATTATCTATCGATCTAGAATGGAAATCCTCATCTATCTACTGTTTAATAAAGTTTAATTCCATTCTTGCTTGATGAATTTGATCATGACCTCAGGTCGTAACGTCCTTGGATGTTCTTTGGATTCGGGGAGCATCGGAGTCATCTTTAAATGGCCGCATGATAAGAGCGCTTTTTGTTCGTAGTGAATTGTTATGATTCAGCCAGAACCTTATTGTCTACCTGGAAGCAAAATGTCGCGAAATAAAGGTACTTAAGATATTTTTCCGGCAAAAAAGGTCACAAACACGATAAAAAGCGAACAGTTGTTGCTGTCTTTTAGACTTTTAGAACAAGCAGTGAGCGTGAAGCACCTAAATACAAAAAGTTCCAACATTACGTCCGTTTTCGCTTTCAAGATGAACAAGTGTTGGCTGACTCATTCATTCTAGACATTTCCAGCACTATTCCGTAAATTCCCGGCATAATTCCGCGAAATTCCGGCAACTATATCCAATCACAAGAATCTTGAATCACGGAACATTTGTATAAAAATTGCAATTTTTCGGAAAAAGAAGGAACAAGTCCTAAAACAAGAAAGCCCAACTGTGTTTTCCATTTGCACCTTTTTTTGGCATATTTTGGAGGCTCAAGGTAGGTTTTCTACATATTTGAATCAGGATAGGGTCGGAATATGGTGCAATCAACTTGTGAGTGGCTGAGAAGCCATCATTCCGGGAGCGGAACAGCACCAGGGTGACTAGCAATCCTTGGTCCAGGTTGGATGCTGAGATTTTGTAGTCCTTGGAAGGTTGGACATGGTAAGACTGTCCATTCCATGAGTTTTTCCCTCTGAAAACAAGTCCAGCCGATTTTGATCCTGGGATTTATATGGACTTATAATGTTTTAAATAAAGTTCAATATCTGAATCGGGATCCAAACAATATAAATCCCAGGATCCAAACAATATTTTTAATAAATATCTGAAACCAACCAATTATTTCCTTGTTTGAGATGGGTTGAACCGGCCAGGTGGCACCTATCAATTTCGTCTTCGCGGATGTTGTGACCGACGATCGGCTCCAGATCCCTATTCACTTCGGCAGGTGAGCTATGTGTAAAATGAGGCTGTAGTGGAATCCCCACCAATATTTATGAGTCCATGCAGACTTATCTGATTTGAATATTATTTAATATGACGGATATACTTTTTAAAATGAAACTGCTGGGGCTGGGGATATGTCGGATATGTTTCGTGATTTCACTGGATGGACTGTCCTGATCCAGGGCCAAATAGCCTTCGTCAGGAAGTCCCCTAACTGTGTTCTTTCCACGCAGAAGTGGAATAAATCCATGTTCTATCCCTGTTTGCTCACCGCTTACATTCAGGCAACCTCAATCATTTTTTCAGGAAACCCATGAAATTTGATTTTGAGGCAATGTTTCTTGTAGATTTTTTGTGGTGTCCCTGAAATATCTGAAATCGACCCAGGGATATATTGCGAACAAACAATAAATACTAATAAGCATTAATATGCTATAAATCAATACAGATCATCCATGATCATCCTAATAATAAACACAAATATAGTTTCCTGATGTTTCCTGCCACACTTTCTGCAAACTTTGCCAGGTGGTGTCTGACTGGTCTGTGGCCTTAAGTCTCACTGGCCGTTCCAGTCGCCCCAGTAAGCCACTGGGCGCCTCTGAGCGGATTTCACAGACCTGAGATTTCTCAGCGTTTCTGAGTCGTCGTAGTCATGGTGATGTTGCTGCCTGGCGGCTATGGATCAATACCCTGGACCCTATTAATTAATACTAATATACTATTTGTTGGGGGATGAACATCCATTTGCCAGCTATTTTGATGTTCACTGCCATGTATGATGGCTTTTGAGACTGTTATCGCTTGATATGGTGATATCCCGACTTAAGACTTGAGACGATGGTGACCGTGATTTTTGACCCTTGAGACGATGGTGTTCTTGCACGGAAAGAATAGGAAATTACCTATATATATGATGTTATGGATTCATATTCATATGGCCTTTTCTTCCCCTAAAGAATATGCTCTTTTGCCTAAAACATATCTACTGTAGGCATTTGACCCTCAAACAAGCTGGCGAATTTAATTGGACACGGTCCACGCCAAAAAGGCTGTAGTTTTCATATCAGGGAAAGCATCAAGAATTCCCAGAGGTCCTGGAAGCAGGGTGGGCTCTGGGAAGTTTTCTTCCCTGGTTGATTGTGTTGACCATGTTGTGACCAGCAAGACGACTCAGAAGCGCAGGTCAGTTGCTAATGTATCCAAAGATATCCAAAGTGGCCATGCTGATCAACAAAAAGTGGCCATGGATGACTACGATCATGCTGTGGTTGTCATAGGATTTCTCATCCCAGATTGGCAGGTAGCACTTCCCAGAGTGTTGCAGCATGTTGCAGCTGCCACACCTCGACTTGGCTGATGACCAGAAGGCTTGAAGCTCAATGATTTCTAGTTTTTTTTTTTTTTTTTTTAAAAGAGTGTAGCATATTATATTATGACATATAAGAATAACAATAGTAATAATAATAATAATGATGATGATGATAATATTAATAATAATAGTATATACTGTAACTCTATTAAAAAAAAAAAAAACTATATTATATGGATAGTCAGATATGATGTTTGAAGAGTTGGTACCCCAAAATCGAATGAACTCTTTGACATATTTGCCGTTTGGGGGTATGTCCTTTCTTGAGACAAAGCCAGAAAAACCAAGATGCATAGCTCAAGATGAAATTTTCATAATTTTTCTGGTGGCTTGTTACATGTTGCTCTAATGTTTGGTTGATTTGGCTAAATATTGCTAAGGTTTACTGTCCCGAGCGCGAAGTTGGATTGACATGTGACCCTGACAGGAATAACCACAGAGGAGACTGCCATCGCCACATTGATGCGGAAAAAATGGGCGCAGTGGCGTGTTTCGAAGGGTTGGAAGAATTGCTTCAAGCAAATTGCTGCTTATCCAAAATGATCAAAAGAGAAACAGCTATCATATCCATCATAGAACACATGCCAGCACTGTCAAATGTGACGTTTTTTTTTAATGGAATTAAATGTGCATGACATGTTGTGACTGATTCCTTATGACTGGTTTCTCTGGAGACGGTCAGGTGTAACATGGTCAGGAGTTACCCCATTGCCATGTGTGCACCCTGCATGAACCTTTCATAATATGTTATTTTCCAATCCTTCCTTCAACCAATCCATTTTTGAATGTGATATTGAATTCCTGAAAGCTTCTTCCCATTATATCGCACAAGACATCCCCTTTCTATCCCCATTCCATCCCTATAGTATCCCTACAAATTTGGCTCTAGGTTTTATGTCCCATTCATATCACATCTATCCAATTCCAATAAATATCCCATAAAATGCTTGGTTGAATTTCATTTTCATAGCCCAGAGTTTTACCAGTACATCTCCATATCATGCCATGTTTCTCCATGTTATACCATTTTGATGGCCCACTTTTCCATAGCTATTGAACATCACCATGTAGAAGTAAATTGCAGTAAACCATCGAACTGAATGAGCCATTGCCATAGCATTTGTTACATAACCAGAGGCTATATCTATTCTTTCCAGTTGTATCCGCATTCACATCCCATTCTATCACCAGTTTTTGCATGCTGAAACCATGTTAAACCACGTTAAACCATGTTAAACCACGATTTTTGTTCATGCTTCCTCCCATTTTTTCATGGTGAAAACCAGGATTTTGTCCTAGTTCAACGGCTTCACCATGGATTTTCATGGTGAATCCTCCATGGAAACTGTTCGACGATTCGATGCCAGGCCTTGGACTCCATGTTCGAGACCACCTCGCTGCTGCCAGACGCCGCCCTGTCGGATGTCGTGGGAGCGTTGGGCCGCAACTTGAGGACCGACAGGGCGCCATGGCAACGGCACTTTGGGGGGAAAGCACCGGGCTTTTCCGAGCGGGTTTCTATTAGAAAACGATTAAAAACGTGGGATTTCATTGTAATGAGGTTTTCGATTATATACAATCCAAATCAATCCAATGAGGTATGTGGTTTCATTGTACAGTTTTATGTATCATATGCGTGATGTGTTTCAATGTTTGTAGAAACACCATGATGTTCAATTTCATGAGTGCATGATGTAAACATATGTAAAAAATAGATCTGACGTGCGTATACATTCCCATGTGTTTGTAGTATGCACACAATATTTGTGATATGGTTGTGCTGTTCCTACTGTTCAATGAGTAAACAGAGGGGTCACCCACACAGAATAGTCACAGTCGCAATGATAGATAAATGATGTAGCAACATTCTCGACGGTTCCCAACAAGGACAACATCTTTTGCGTATGGATCAAAAATTGGAGCACAATAGATTTGCAAGATGTTTGCAACAAGTTTAGTAGACACTTGTCCAATTTTTCAGGGCTTTGTTGTGAACAAACTGCAACAATTCCTCCGAACATGGTTTCATATAAGAGGAATATCATCAACCAGTATTCTGATATATTCTGATAATGATGTACTTGGGTGCGGCCATCAGCAAGAATTCATGATTTGGTACTTTTCGGATCGAAGATTCCTCAAACAATCCAGTTTCACGACGGGGAAATGATTCCACCAATGATGGGTTTCCAATACTGTCAATGCTTTCTAAATACTTGAATGGGATGAACATGAGTTGATTTCTGGAGAAAATTCGAATTGTTCTTTATCGAATTCTGGTCCAAAAAAGGGGCGATTTTCGGGATTCGGTTTGCTGGTGTGGCCATTGCTGGCGCCATTGCTGGCCTCATCCCTCATATTTCCCATGCAGGGAGTTGAGCAGAGAGCTGGGTTCCTCCACTTCCAGGACCACCAATGATGTTGAGGAGGGAGCTTTGATTCTGAACCGCATCGCCTTTGCCCCGGCGAGAGAGGTTTTCCATGGATTTAAATGGGACGATTGGGGCACCAAGATGCCCATTAAGCCATATTTATTGAACACTGAACATCATTGACCGTGTGTCTATGTCATATGTGTCTATGTCTTCAGCGCCATAGTCTTCTCATGTTTGCTCGAGGATTTCCAACTTGATTCTTTCAGACTTTTTGGGTGTTCCTCGTAGCTTTAAGACTGGCATCGCATGTGCCAGCGTGCCAATAAACCTGTCCTGTACTAGGGGCATGGTTGACCAGCCATCATAATCCTAGGTGGCTGACAAGAGACGTTAAACGAACATGGTGGAAAGCATGGATTCACTCTGATTCACTGTGGTCACCAGTGGCACAGCGTCTAGCTGAGGTGGAGCTGTGCAATTTTAACCTCGCTCGCCTCTTTGTCGTCGATGCCTTAGATGTTCTTCTTTGCAGGTCACAGGGACCCCACACGGACCCCATGCACGGACCCCACAGGCAGCCACACAGGACGCTGGATTACTAGCTATGACAGTGGCGCTAGGTAAACTTGATATGCTAGATTGTGGTAGAGGGGTGATTGAAACGGACCTGAAATCATGAAACTGGCCAGGAATACGGAATTGATCAACCCTTTGGTAGACAATCATTACCCCTTTTGTACTGGATGTTAAGGTCTAATTTTCAATTGCTATGCCATAGTTATGCTGAAGCTGAATTGCAGGATGTGGGTGTGTCTGAAAACAGGAATTGTGACCCCCCAACATCAATTGATACGAATCGGGGATAGCCTATTTTCACACAAACCCAGAATATGACTGATTATGACTGCACGTTGTTATATTTATATTATATATATAATATATACACATGTATCCATAGATATGTCCATAGATATATCTCACCACACTTCATATATGATCCCGCGAGGTTTGGGACAGCGTGTTGAAGACCATCACTGAGGCATCAGCAGGGCTGGTGGTCCCTGATACACTGCTGAACTGACATCATCAATTGGTAGCAATAATGCAATATAATATGCATAGTACTTGTAGTACCAGAATTTAGTAGCCCAATCATGGTGTTCAAAGATGTTTTTAATCATATTTGATATATTTCCGTGAGTTCCATATGAGTTTTAGGGGTGTATTGCGTTTGCTTGTCACTTCTCATCACTATCCCCTGAAAATCGAGCTTGGGGAGGAATGTTTAGTGACTCATCATGCCCGAAATGCAAACAAAATGGCAAGTCAACTAATCCATGTCATGCCATGTTCGCCAATTCAGCAGATGTTGATTATGTACAGGCTGTAAACACCAACTTTATCAGTTTTACTGTATCACTTATATGGCAGTGTGTCAAAACCTTGTACCCCTGGTGAACATCAAAATAGCTGGTAAATGGATGTTCATTCCCCTAAAAATGGTATTAATAGGTATTGACCCATACCCATATCACTTATATCCCCATATTATCATGGTTTTTCAACCACCATACTGTATTCGTTCCATCCGGTTATGTCCGCCGTTGGGAGGTTTGCACTGCCGAGGACCGGCCAGAGTTTGGACCCTGGCATGTCGGTTGTCTCACCAGCTGATGATGATGACTTACTGGTGCTAAACGTAGGGATGGGAATGGATGGGAATGGGGGTTGCTGGGATTATCATTGCTAGTGGTTATGGATTATTCCCGAAAATTCCCATAATTCCCTGCTAAGCACCATGATGATGATGATGATGATGATGATGATGATCTCGTGATGTTATGATCTCACAAGCTCATGATAGCATGATTGCAAAGGAAAGAATGACAAACAGCCTATGCGAGGCTCAAGAGTTTAGCTGCCAGCGCTTTGTGCCGCATCTTAGAGCAGGCAGGATTTGAGGAGCTTGTTTGTGTTTTCATGTGTTTCCGCTCATGTTAATGTTATATCAATTTATATCAACTTCTATATTTGTGTATATATGTGCGCGTGTATCTCCATGTGCATATGTATGTATGTATATATATATATGTGTGTTAATCTATTGAAGCATCAGTAAGATGAGACGAACAACACATTAAATGGGTTTTGATAGAGGGGGAAATGTCACACTATATCAACGTCTATCGATGATACTGTAGGCTGTAGACCTTGGTGCCGCCCCTCAGCCCTGATATGCTTGGATAAATCAGACATCCGGGGTCAGACACATCAAACATGAAAAACACACATATTTGTTATAGTAACTAATAGTAGTCATTAAATTCAAGATGTTCAACGATCACCAAACCGCATCAGTTCAGCAAGCTCCTCTGGCATCAGCCGTTCATGCCAGTTCCTTTCGCTTGTAGGCCTTGCGGAAAGGCGCCTTGGCGATGGCTGAGAAGCCGGAGGTGAGATTTTCCGAGGGGTATAGCCATGAGATGTGATATATAAGGATTAATATAAGTATTATATAGGCAGCATTGATGCCCCAGATCATTGATATAGAGTTGGTTATATATATATATAATACGTATATATATATATAAATATATTATTTTTGTATATATAGATTCACATTTGCCGCTGTCGATTGTGGGAATAGAATGATGGTCAAGGCTTGATCCCAAGCCTTGATGCAGAAAAAAAGACTCGATTTACCGTTGTGCTGAAAAAAAGGCATCACATACACAAGATGTAAAACATGGGCAATATATATATATATATATATTGTATATTGTGTATATTGTATATATATAAATAATATTAGATACCTGGCTTTCAAAATGTCAGGAAGCACAAGATGAGCTGCTGAAACATTTGGAGGTCGGAACATGTGGGGAATCAATGCGGCTGCGGTTCATTTCTTGTGACTTCGTCCCAAATTGGGGGGGGGTTCTGAAAACTGGGGGTCCCCAAAACCATAGGTTTCAAAAGCAAAGTGGTCTAATTTGGGATGATTTGGGGTACCACCCATTTTTGGACATCTCCTTTTGGGTCTAAATCACAGAAACCTACTAATGCGGCCCGTTTTTCCGCAACGATGGCTTCACTTTGCCAGGTTCTTTTGAAAAGCCAGCACGACTTCACACGTGCTCGGATATGCGAGGCATGGTGCATGGTGCCAACATGTGCCAACAACACTGTCCTTTAGAACATTGACTTTTTGCATTTCTTGCCAAGCATCCAAGCATTTTTCTGAATTGGCTTAACTATGCTTAACTAGTAACTGGTTGCCTATTTGAACAATGCTAAAAAAAAGAATGTCTATTCCATCCTATTCCAACATAAATCGATCAGCCTTGCCATTGAAGCCCTGATCGCCAGGGGCTGCTAAGCATTCTGCAAACCTCTGGGCAAGAGTTACAGCCTACAGTGCGCACGGGATCAGTTGAGGGACAGGGATTGTGCCACACAGAAGTGAACCACTTTTGCAAACGGGTGACACTGTTTACATCTTTTTTTGTTGATCAATATCACGCACATCAAGTTGAAAAGTGCATATATACAGTATATTCTATACATATTTTTCATGTTTATAATAAGTATATATATATATTGTTATTATTATTGTTATTATTAATGTTATTATTATTGTTATTGCTATTCTTTCTATTTTTATTACCATTGCTATTATGTGCATGTGTACGTTTCGGTATCGATATGCTTCCCATATTGTGGCGAGGCTTGGGGCACCATGCCCGGGGGCCTCAACTGGGGATGCCGTGAGAAGTTTTGCCGAAATTCGCAATGATGATGCCTAGAATGTGCCCAGATATGCCTAAGATATGACATAGACATATATATATATATATATGACATATATATATATATATACACATATTGTGTATATATATATATACTTACATATGCATATATTTACATATATATATATACACATGTACATATACATGTTATTATTATTATTATTATTGTTATTGTTATTTATATATTACTACTTTTATACACATAGAAAAAAGCTCCCAACTCCATATCTCACTGCAGACAATTGTTCTTAAAGCATCTTGAAGGGACCAGCCATGGTTGCATCAAGGTTATGCCACACAAAGTGATTTGAAAAATCTGACCGTTTTACACCCGTATGTTTTCCTGTGTTTGAGGCTAAGGCGGCTAAGAATCAGAGGTTCAACAGTTGAACATGGTGATTTTTTCGCGAAGAAACTCGGATAAACCGATCCATTGAAGTCTCGGTATCTCCGCAGCTTTGGCACCAGCATTCCGCCAACTCCGTCCAGTAGGGGAGGCTCCGGGTGTCCGAGTGCGGAGGCTACGTGATGTTTGGTGGAGATATGGGTCAAGAATCATCAAACAAAATCAAAAAAAAGTGACAAGGTAAGACTCCACAACTTGTTTTGTCCATCATCCAACCTTGAGGATGCTGTTGACAACCACCTGGATCTGATGTTTTTCGATGTTTTTCCCCCATGTCAAGTCAAGGGACGCCAAAGTAGCAAGCCTGAAGTGTGCTGGTCGGGATTGTTTTAAATGCATTTAGTTTCTATTAGGCATGATGACCCAAAAACAACAAAACATGGGATAAACCAAGCTGGGAGACGCACTTACCAACTGGGACCATTGAGCCAGGACGCAACGGACGTTGGCAATGGTGCAAGAAGAGGGTGCTCCCATGCAGGCACAGTCCTTGCGCAAGCGTGCTCGGATGCAGGTGTTTTGTCAATGTCAACGTGTCAATGTATATATGTCAACTCCGCATGAGTTCATTTGAAAAACAGGGTTTATATGGGTTTATACATATATGGCTTGGCATTCGATGTATCTGCATTTCTTACGACTGACTCTCTGTGCTTGCCAAGTCTAAGTGGTCAAGGGCAAGACACGAGGGCCTGGGACAAATTTGGGACGGAAAAAAACATGATTTCCTCCCAATTTCCGTTAATTAACTGAGAGATGGTGTTGGTGTTGAGGCTACGGTGCTGGCGTCCTGTTTTTGATTAAGCCCTGGCTGCCGAAGTACGCCAGGTCGACAGTGATGAAGGGATTGAGCTTTACAATGCCCTTGTGGTTGAAGTCCTCTCCAGCCACTTGATATGCAAATGGGCAGAGTCCAACGTGTATGAATCAAAGGTGATTCGACCACCTTCAATGCGATTCTTACTACGTAAATTTCACGCGTAAATACAATAGTTATTACGTAATTATATATAATTGTACATACGTATGAGTGAATCAATGGACAGATTCATGTGTATATATATATATACATGTACATATGTTTGCACCTGCACAATGTATTTGTTTTGGGTGAGTTTGTGCGACACAGCTGCAGCCATGGGGATGACCAGACCCAATGCGCCCTGTTAGCGCCCCTGTTTGGTGAGGTCAAGAGCTGATGGCAACTGTGGCTGAATTTAACGGTTTGATGTTCGGACATGGGGGATGATCTGGCTTTGGGAATAGGGTGTACTCTCTATATCTATGTTTAAATGGAAACGATGAGAATCCATTGGAATTGGGGCACCTTATTTTCAGACAAAGTCAAAATCATGGTAAATGCTCACAGTTGAGTATGTACCCGTAAACATTTGCAAAAAATGTTAACAGAATGGAATCATATGTAAGGCAACATGTTCATGGTAATGTTCAAACGCAGTGTTTGGGGAGACACAAGCAATTTATCACACTAAACAGCAAGCATTTTTCCATCAACCACATGTTTGCATCATGGAATGCAGTAAGATGCAGTAAGACATTATGGGATTTCACAGACATCACGCAGGAAAGCCGCAAGTGTTGTAGCACCATTTATATGGCGCTGTTTTTGACCTGGCAGGTGAGTGGCATTTCTTCATTGTTGGTTTCCCACTTTGTCACATAGTGTTTTCCCCACCGCGTAGAACATGATATGGGTGCGGGCTGAGCGATTCAAAGCCACAACGACCTAACCATAAATCAGTATAAATCATCCCCAAAGTGATTTGAGTGCCTGATTTCAGCTCATTTTACGGTTAATTGCCGGTTACAACACGTTAATTGCCTTGAATATCCCCCATGTTTGACCCTGCTTCCAGAATGGGGTCTGTTGAGGTGCCGGGAACCAAGTTGATGAGAGCCGAGAAGCAGCCTCTTGACAGAATGGCGCTTTCTTGGTGCCTGGGAGGTTTTGATAAATCTATGGTTAATCTATGGTTAATCTATGGTTCATCTATGGATTGTTGCATGGTTTTGCTTCCCAGGAAACCAAGGTACAAGTTCAATTGAAGCTTCTGTGGCGTATGTTCCGGACATTTAAGGTATGTATCACCCTGCAAAGTAGGGCAAGTTCTTGGAGTCTGACTGATGAAGTGACTGCTAAGTCTGATTCCCAGACCCCATGAGTATACTGACAGTGTAGTAAAGGTGGTGGGGCTTCCCTATATTGGGAGATGCTAACAGTGAACGGCCCCTATTGTGTCCCCAAATCGGTGGTATGTGCATTATATCACTGCAGGATTGGCTATCTTCGCAATAAGACAAGGATGTGACACGCTAAGATCGAAAGAGGTTTGTGGTTTGGACTCTCTCTCTCTCTCTCTATGATGGTAAAAACCGGTGGATCATCGGTGGATAACCGGTGGTTTCTTGGGTGAAGATCTTCCAATGAACCAAGGCTTCTCATTTATCACTACGCAGCCAAAGTGCATGAGTTCCGCGAGCAGATCCTGTCCCTTTGGCGTGGAGAGAGTGAGGTTCCACAGGAGGTGCGGGGCACAGAATGGGCTGGTTAATTAATAGAAAAATCATGAAAAACCTACAGGAAACCATGTTTGTTCCCACAGAATGTGGGAAAAAAACTGCAGATTTTCTCTTCCAATTCCGGGATGGATCTTGATTTGGCGAAGTGAAATGCTGCAACAATGTAATCAATGTTAAACTTTAAACAGATGTTAGCCACCCAGTTTTCGGGTGTTAAAACGTGTTAAAACATTCAACAACCATGGTGTCCTCTTACTTCTTGGTATTGGATCATAGGAAAATCTGCAGGAACATCTGCAGATTGTCCATTCACCCAATCCATTGATTTATCCAATCGATGTATTTGGGATATATTTGGGATAAACATACCCCATTGATCCATATTGATCCCCCATATGCGATAGATATATCGCGATTAGCAGTTCCTTGGCAGGGCCTGGCGGAGCCTTTCTTGAGCTGCGTGCGGAAGCTGAAGACGTCTTGGCAGGACAGCAGGGCGACCTTGTGATGCGATCTGGGAAGATTTGGGAAGATCTGGGAAGGTGAAGAGGTGGGAAATGGTGGGAAACTGAAACTCTTGTTTTATCTTGTTTTCATATTTTGGTCTCAGAATTGTATATAGACTAATAGATCTAATAGGGAACGAAATATGTAGACTATTGTAATCTATTGTATACTGTAGAATTATCCAGTTATTGGAGATATCATGGCATTATCATGGGATTCTCATGGGATGCAGTGAAATCACCTCCACCTGGTCCTTCGTGAAGCTGACAGGACCAGGGGAAGTGGACGGCCACCGTGAAAGCCAAGAAGGTACGGCCGGTACGGCCGGGCCACGGGGCGATGTGAAGTATGGTGAAAAAAGCCTCTGGTAACCTGAAAAAAATGGCGAACAACGACCCAGCCATAGATATATACTTTACTACTGATCTACCCATTATACATGGTGATTTTGCATCATTGTCTTTTGTATTTCAAATTATTGAAGGGTATTTGTGATCATATCCGATCATGTGGACACTCATAATCAATGCATATTATCGCTTCACGTCAGTGATCATAGCTAGACTTTGCCGCCGACATTCCCACAGGAACATCTTGAACTCAACAAGGATTGGGAGCAAGTCATGTGAACATACATATTATATTTTATGCAATATGTGAATTAACTAAATTATACACATGCTCGAAAAAGCGCAAATAAATGCTCATTCGAGAGATTATGATTTTTGAGTTGTTGTTCTTCACATAAGCGTAATTGCACCACGTTTGGCATTCTTGTACTTTGTGCATTTTGAAGCCAAAATTATGAGCGTATTTTCTGAGAAAATAAGCGTAACAGGGAAAAAAACGTCAAGACCCGCCCGTCAAAAAACACATGCGTGTTTTCTAGCATTCAAAGTTAGAAAGAGCGTAAATCCAACTGAAAACTGCTATGAGCAGAAACAAAGTGCTAAGTGAAGATCCATGGCCAGGTATACGTCATGAAGCTAGAATAAATATATAATTTATGATTTATAATATATATATATATATTTATAATAATACTTAGTGTATTTATATACTTTACTCATGCATGAATCTACAAACTATATATTATGTATACATTAATGCCAACACCGGATTAATAACCCCCCCCCAGAAGGTAGGGGGGTACCTTCTGGCTAGTTTTCTTGACGACCCCTTAATAATAAGCAACTCTGAACCATAAAACTTTGGATATGGCTTACGTCAATTAGATCTTAATAGAATTCCATTGGATTTGTTAAAATTTCATGGATCAGAAAGGTGGTTGATTAATCAGGGGCAAACCCTGGTTATTATTAATGGGGGACATGGGCTCATGGGGGGTACCCTTTGGGAGCTATCCAAACTGATGATTTTTATAAAGATTTTAATTAGAAATCGATCATTTGGGGAATAGTTGTTTTTTGAAATTTTCAATGATCAACTTAAACCTGAAGTATAACAATGATGATTAAAAAAATGTAAAAACCAATTGGAAATAAATAGAATTGAAAATAAACAATGTTGGATAAAAAAATGGATTTCAGAATTGGGGGTTGATTAATCGGGGGTAGGCCAAAGTGTTTATTAATCTGGGGGGACCACCTGTTTTTAAATTACATTTTTTTTGGGGGGCAGTTGCTGTTGATTAATCGGGGGGGCATTATTAATCCTCACTTGGCATTAATGTATGTATATATGTATAATTAAATACATAATATGCATAATCATGTCGCACTTCAGTTGTTCATTTCTTAGAGTCAACAAACTTCTCCAACGCTTCCATTCTTTGAATCCCCGGAAGGTCTTTGGCCATTCAGGAATCATCAAGACACTTGGTCACTGAAAACGTGGGATTGTAAGCCAGGCTTTCAGTTTAAAGAAGTGACGCCAGTGGCGCACTTATGGACCTTGGAAGGTTTTGAAGATGTCAAAAATCTATTGATGATAACTATTGTCGTAGAGCTTATTTGCCACTTTCTAGTGGCATGTCTAGATTGGATTTCATGTGACCAAACATGTGGAGCACCCGTGAAGCATGGGACTTGTGCACCTCAGGTTCTGCCAAACAATGCCCAGCTTTCCCACCTCCAGCAATGGCAGTTTCGTCTTTCTCCAACAACGGCCCACAGCCGGAGCACCCTCCGGGCTGTGGAGCTTCACGGAAGGCCGGGGAACCTGATTTCACCGGCGTTTTGTGATTCCAATAGTTCAAGATGTTCAAGAGTACATAACTGAATGTTTTCCAATGGTTTCTATGGATTCGGGACTAATGGATTCCAATAGGCCAATAGCCCAGTGAATGACAATGCCTTGTTTTCGGCATTGTTTGAGGGCCGCTTGTTTGGGCCACATCATGTTCACTGCTTGTTTTCCACAGGATTGTACCCCAAAATCCCCCAAAACGAATAGCCGAGGTCTTGAGGTATATATATGGTATATCACATGCTTATACAGATACATTTTGAAAATCATGTTGAACAAACCCAACAATTTTGCACCATTTTATTAGACGCCCCATTTGTAGGGTTGGCTAAGGTTACATCATCATCCCATAGAAAAAGACCCGAAAAGAACCAGGCTGCGGCAGTGACCCCGTCGCAGACCTGGAGACCAAAGGGTTGCTTGACGAAAAAACGGAGCTGCGTCTTCAGCATTTGTCGAAATGGCTTTCCTATCGAAATCCCATCGAAATCTGCATAAGAAAGTTATCCACTGTGGAATACAATGCGACATCCTGAGGTATATCTTGGCGTCTTTAAACGGGGGAGTTCGTGATATCCGTCAAATTCCAACTTCAAACCCAGCAATCCGTGTTTTGTTTGGGGTTCCTTCTGGGTGGGCCCCCTTCTAGCCTGTATCCACTCAGGTTGGCCCTTGTGCTTCGCATGGACAGCTACCTGAAAGATGCTGTGGTACTGGTCAGCCCATGCCTACAGCGCCTCGGAACCCAACATGATAACACAGTAGGTCTCTCGAACGTGATAGGTATTTGCGGGGACCACTTCTACAAGTGACCTAAGTGGCAGCATGTGGCGGACAAAAGGGGATTCTGTGCACAACTTGTGCGAAAGATACAGGAAAAAAACTGTGCACATTATATGGTCCTGTGGAGGTGCCTGGCTTATATGCCAGTATATTGTCTAAAGCTATTCATGATATATAATATAATATCTGAATATATCTGATATATATATATATGTATGTATATTTTATTGTACATAAATTACCGCTTGACTTCCGCGTTCCAGCTCACCGTTTCTGCAGATCACCAAGGAACGGGGTCATGGCTCATTCGGAAGATCTGTCCAAGATGATCATGAGAGAACCAGAAGTTTGGCGCAGGCCAAGACGTCGTTCTCTTCCTGGGGCCGCTATTCTACCTTGATGAATGAGCATAGCTGATATTGCACCAGAAGTACTCGTATGAGATGTTTGGATTTTTCATGTGGACCTGAACGTTTGTTTTCGATGTTTTGCTGATTAATTATTGTTCTTAACGTGTTTTTTTTTAGAATAGCCAGACCTGCAATTGATATTGTTCCGTGTTTCATACTGTGGACGGACAAAATCCGGCACCAGTTGGCAACAAGGTACATAGTTCAACACTGCAAATAATTTCATATAATTTCATTACAATGGGATGTTCATCATCTACCAACTGGTGCAGGTATGTTGCAAGTATTGATTTACAGTATAGACTATAGCTCTAATTATAGAAAACCTCCATGTTTTTTCGTGTTTGACATGTTGATTTATTAGGATTATTAGGGCCCAGGTGACATCCAGCAATACATAGCAGTAGCAGTGACCCAGTGTCGTTTTGCAGGCTGCTGAAGACAGAACCTCGCTTCACTGCTCGTCGCCACGGGAAATTTGGTGGTTTAAAGCCAGCTTACACAAAAAGTGATACTAATCCCATAATGGTAAATCCCTTACTAAACCACGGTTCTCGGGGATGTTTAATATTAGGGGGAAGGGGTTATATCATGTTATATAATATATCCAATTATATTGCTATACAAAGTGTATCATTCCCATTTACAGTAATGGTGATTTTATGATGGTATATATAGTTGGGATAGAAAAAAGGGATTTTCATAGGATATAGGAACCAACAATATGGTTTTGCCCAAAAATGGAACTTGAATAAAATTCATCACTGGTTGGTGGTTTGGAACATTTATTATTTTTCCATATATTGGGAATAGTAATCCCAACTGACTAATATTTTTCAGAGGGGTTGAAACCACCAACCAGATCATAATTCAGACATTTTACACACATGTAATGTGATGATCAAGCATGGGTAGGGCAAGCGGTGGGCATTTCAGTGGAAGACCCAGTTGGAGGCGTGCTATTCATGCAACTTGCCATTGAAACTTGCCATTTATAGTTGAATTACCCATTAAAGATGGTGACATGTCCATAGCAATGTTAGTTTACCAGAGGTAATTGCATAAACATCTAGAGTCTAGAACAAGATCGTCAAGATTCGTCAAGCGCGTATCTTCGGTCACACCACAAGTACTCCTTTGAGAAAGCAAGCAATCCAGTGCCACCCATTTGCGACTCACCTAGGAACACGAGCTCTTCAGCCCTGCCAGTGCATCGTTGATTAAGCAGGTGCCGTTGTACACAGCGCGGATAATTACAGCTGATCGGATGATCGCTTCGGATGAGAACCTGGTCATGGCTGTAATCATTGTGATAAGGGAGATTGTTCTCAAAGCAGTTGTCAGCCGCGAAGGCCGATATAGTAGCCTAAGCAATGCTGATTTTATCAGTAACTTATAGCAACTGATCGT